GGAAAGTAAATGCTCAGTAGGTAGACACATGTGGAGTAGAGTATGACTCCTAGCGTAATGCAAGAGATCTCTGCTGGGTTTCAAGTACTCAATCTCATGTAGAGGCTGGTAAAAACCTATTATAAAGCCACTTTTATGAGCTGGAGAGTTGGGTAAAAAACTAAACGACAGCTCAGGATAAAAGAAGGAATTGTAAAAGTCGTGCCTTTCTTGAGTATGTCCTTTTAGAGGCAAATAAAGTTGACTGCAAAAGGAATGGACTGGAAGCCTAATGAGTGGTGGTCCATTCTTGAAGAGGGATGGCTTACTACCAAATGATCGTGACAAGGACCGTGATGAGGCCTGATGGAAGAATTAACCAGGAGAAGAGGAATGGAGTTTAAATTATTAGTACATAGCTGTAGAGAGAAGGAGCATAGATTTAAGACAACCATCTTTTTAATATTAGTCCAAGTCTTACCTCCACGCTAAATGCAACATTTGGGTGATAAAAAAAAAGAAAAACAAGTGACACCAAAACTGCATGCTTGTATTTCTTTAGACAGAAAAAAACTTTTAGTTTCTTAATTGGTCTTTACCCAGCTGAGAAAGCTTTTCTTAGGCTTAGTGTTCAAGATACTCTGAAGTCCGCAATACCACTCTCAACTTGACCCTAATCATTATCCCATCACTGTCAGTTCACCTAGCCTACCACTGGCTGCTCTGTCTAACCTCACCACACCCAACTCTTCTCTCACCTGCTTTGGAATAATTTCTGTAGTTGTATCAGTGATGACCTCTAAGGAATTTCCATCATGTTAGAGAACAGTCTCCCGATATCCTCAACAGTATGTGGGGACGGGGGCTGAAAGTTCCATTTTTAAGTAACAAAATTGAGTCCTAGAGCTGGTAGGTGACTTGACAGAAATCTGACTCAACATTGATGTGGGGCAGGGAAACTAAAATCTAAAGCTGCCACTCAAATTTATCTTCCTGTCTAATTCAATCAATTTCAAATGTTAAATAATGCAAATGTTCAAAATCCAAAAAGAAAAAAAAAAATCCCTGAAAATAACATTGTATTTCCAGAAGAAACTGATAGCAAGTATGCACATTCTACAGGGGGAACGGGTGAAATACATGAAATAAATTTAAATGAAATGGCTCAAGCTTTGCAGGGGTATGGTAGGAAGGAATGAGTAAATTCCTGGGTCTTTAATCCAATTTAGTATGATAGAATTCTCAGGTTCCTGGGATTTAAACATAGCCCTAGAGAAAACTGTGAAGTTAGGGAGTTGCTTTTGGGAGCCCAAACTCTCAAGTCCCTTGCCTTTATTCCTACAGTACTATGCCTGATAGCTTCATCTTTTTTCCACTTGCCTCTCTATCAAATTTCACTTGCAAGAAAGAGCCAAAAATGTGAATATACCTATTTCTGAAAAGACTTAATATACACTAGATTAGATAATTTGAGGTTTCTTCCTGCTATGGTCGTCTGATTTCATGATATTCTACTCTATTTTCCATTTAACTGAGGAGAATGCATTAAGTCAAAGGAATTAATATTTAATTATAGAATTTCAGGCATGAGTGATGAGGTGGAAGCAGCTTTACTAAGGACAGAAAAGCCTTCCTTGCATTGTTGGAACCAGACCGTGTTAGCAGCCAGCTTCTTTCGCCTACTTAGAAAGCCAACTTTAGCTGTAGATCTAGAACAGCTAGACTTCATACTCAATAACTGCACCCTTGCTACCTACGTGCTGTCCCCTCCTAACTCTAAGGCAATTGCCGGTTCACCTATCTCTCTGACATGAGAATTTAAGACAAAGGAAATTTTAAGGCACTAAGAGGCAAAAACATTAGCAGTGGCAGTTAGAAAGCAAGATGGATCAACAGTTGTTGACCATGGCCTTCCCATCAGACGCCGCCCACAAGGTCCTATCTGGAGGTCCTATACGGAAGTAATAGAAATGTTCAGAGGACTGCCCTAGGAATCTCAACTACTATACTACTATAGTCAAAGACTATCAGGGATGTTCAGAATCCTGATAATTCAAAATCTTGAGGAATGAGTTGGGTTAAATAATCAGCTGTTAAGTAAAAATGTTAGGAAAACAGATACTGATTAAGGATGAGGAACAATGTACACTGGGCCTACTAGTCAAAGACATAAGCCTGTAAAATTTGCAGTCAAAAGTTCAGCAGCCAACTGACATATAAAAACTAGAAATAGAAGAGAAAAACTGAACAGCAATCACAACACAGGAGAGGTGGTGGTAACTACAAATTAAACACATCTCCATTTTCATCTCTGTTACCGAGTTATAATGTTAAAGACACATTTTTCCTGTTCCCTCACTCCTACTCCAGTTCTTTGAAATTCCACTGAGAGATTAAAGTTTCTCTACAGATAATCTCATACTACCATCATTTTATTTGGTTTTGTTTTCCTGAAACAGCTGCCTACTCCCGAAAGTAATGCTTTCAGAAGAAAATGCCTGTCTCACGTGAACTTACATATAGTTCCTTTCTCTCAAATTTCTTTGATCTAGGTCTCCTGGAGGGGAAATTTATTTTTGAGGTGAAAATAAAACTAATTATGGACACGGGGCCAAAGACAACTGTGCTAAAATTATTAAAGACTTAGTCTTATCTAGATTTACCCCAAATGTGCTAGTAAATTACATTGAAGTATGAGAAAAATGCAAAAGGCATGTCCTAAAGTTCCTTTTAAGGAAATTGGGTTAGGCAGTATTTCCAAACACCAATGGAACATATAAAAATCAGTTACTGCTTAAAACAATAAAGCAAATAAGCTAAAAATAGAAAAATCAAGTTATTTTTCTATTCTTCTTGAGCAAAATGCCAAAGGAAGCTAATATCTTAAAGGATAAAATGTAAACGTAAAGGTTTTCTAATTTTTTTCCAGGTGTACAGGCATGTGATTTTCTATTGTCACTTTCCCTTTCTGCATGTTGTCATGATAGAAAAAGACAAATGTGGAAAATTTTTAAAGCAGAAAATAATTCACTTTATTAAAAAATGAGTAATAGTAATTAGTGATACTGAACACAGGGCTGGGTCATTGTTCAGGAAGCAGGCACACATGATGTATATTACTCACGATTATATTAGGGCTTTCTTTATGATCTTGAAAGACTAAATAATTTGTCAATTTCTTGGAAGTAAGGTAAGGAATTTTTGTGGACATTAAAGCTGGTAAACCAGAACAGCAATTCCACCCAAAAAAGAATAAAATGGGTGTTCAAATCAGGAAATTCAGAAGTTGTTAAATACTAAAACTGAAAACAAACATTGCAATTAAGTCAATTTTGGCATGTAGCTTTGCATCAGACATTACTTTACAGCACATCTCATATTCGATGGAGTACCTTTTTAGTGACTTAGGATCAAATCTTCAAACCTACCTTCAAAGGGATGGCATATCTTTAAAATGAAGTCTTTTCCATAACTAAATCCCATTAAAACGGGCCCAAGATGAACATGTCATATTCTCGAAGTCTGTTCATATAGATAACATACTTGCAAAAGCCCAGGGCATGTAAGATATACAGAAATATTCTCCTTATGAAGCAGTTTTCTCCTTTTGATTTCACCTAGCTGGTATGTCTATTTCTCCCATAAAGCAAAGGGGATACTTGTTTGATGAGAAATAATACAGTAGAAAGATGGAGAACGACAGCTCCACTCCATGAGCTGATTAACACATTCAGTATTGCCCATCACAGGTAAATTAACCTAAGAAAGATGTGAACTGGAAGTGTGAGGACTCAGGCTCTCAGATGGGGTCCTGCTGATAACTCTGCTGTGCTAATGTTTAAATTCTATCACGAACAAAGAATTAATTCAAGAGAAACTGCAAATTCCAGTAGGTGTGTTCATGGACCTTTTCTCTTTAGAACACTCTCCGGTCTGTTTTGGTCCATGATTCAGTAAAAAAACGGACACCTAGCACTGAGCTTCTCAGTACCCAATGCATTTAAAGACACTGCTCACTGAGGAGGCCTGCGGCCAACATATTCCCACAACTCTGATAGTTATAAACAGGGCCCATATTTCGGGGAGGTATAAATTATATTTATGGTGAGTAGAATGAGGAGAAAGGTTAGGTTAAGTATTCATAAACATCTTTTCTCTCCTCCCCTTCTCCTTTTCTCTCAAATAGGCCCTCTGGATACCATTTTCAGTGTGACAAGCCAGAGGGGCAGTCAGTGAAGGACCCATTGTCCAAGCAAAGGCCTTTTGATCCAGTGGAGAGAAAAACAAGATGCTCTGACCACCACTTAGAGGGGTGACTACACAGGCATCATCAATCAAAGCAGACTTGCAGATGAAAGGCACAGACACTTTGTTCTTAGCCCATGGAAAATATTAAATTTTACTCTGTTTTACATAATATTTTGTTTAATATTTTACATAACTCTTCATAGGAGCTTTTCCAATTTTGACATTATGTGGAAAACTCTATTTTATATAACTGATCATAGGAATTTTTCCACATGAGATATTTTTCTGTGTGTCAATAAACACAGTGATATATAAAGTGGGACCAGAAGACTAATACATTCAGATGCCAAAAAAATCAACCGCTGCGTTCTTCTTGAAACAACTATATTTGACTGAATTGAAATGTTCAAACAAAACACACGATTATAGCTCTAATATTTACAGCCCCAAGAATGTCCAGAGAAAGAAGCCTGAAGTACTATGCGGGCAGTGGCAGGGAAGCTAGCTGGTACGATAGTTAAAAGAAAGGGCACTGCAGAAATTTTCCTGGTAACATTCTCTATGTGTGGATCCATTCTGCTTCTTTCCAATGCCAGAACGTCATTCAGGACAGAAACCAGAGGAGCTGGCCGTGGCCAGGAGGCCATTCGATACCATTGTTTTCTTGTCTCCCAAGCTAAAAGTTAAAACAGGAATATCTGCCTAAGATTGCATGGAAATTTTGATTTTACTAAGAGAAGGATGAAACTGAAAAGTTTGAAATTTACGTAAAACTGCAATTTGTGAAAAGGAAAAGAGCTTCCCTTACGTGTTTCGGAAATGTTCTCTGTAATTAGTTCATTCTAGATAAGTCTCTTCAGAATGTCAAAACTTCCTTTTAAAAAGAATTTAAATTTTCCTTTAAAAAATTAATCACAAAAAAATCAATTGTGAAAACAAAACTTATTTTAAAGAGTAAGTAAGGGCCTGGCCCGGTGGCGCAGCGGTTAAGTGCACACTTTCTGCTTCTTGGCAGCCCAGGGTTCACCGGTTCGGATCCTGGGTGTGGACATGGCACCACTTGGCAAAAGCCATGCTGTGGTAGGCGTTCCACAAATAACGCAGAGGAAGAGGGGCACAGATGTTAGCTCAGGGCCAGTCTTTCTCAGCAAAAAGAGGAGGATTGGCAGCAGTTAGCTCAGGGCTAATCTTCCTCGAAAAAAATAAATAAATAAAAAAGTAATATTTCTAAGACATAGAGATATAATGATATAAACAATATATTTCTGAGACTGCTATGATCTACCTAGTCTTTATTATTCTGCATATGTTCAGGGTGACTCACTTCCTGGTTATTAATGATAGACAATAAAATATACACTTCAAACAATCTAATGGTTTCACTAACTGAAATTAAAAGAGATCCAAATGTACCCTGTTCTTGGTTACATGTGATTGGCTGCCTAATGTTACTTAATTAATTAGACCGACTCTCCTTGAAACGACTTACTGTTTGAATTTTGTGGAAATCCGGGCAAGGAGGATGGACCGTTCATTCCAGGGAGGAGGACGGGAGGAAGGCCGGGGAGTCCTGGATAGGCTGCTGGCAGACTGATGCCATGGAGGGAGCTGCTGTCCATCATGCTCGGCTGCTGCACCGCCAAGCCCAGCACATCTGAAGCTTTCTTTATACGATCAAGTTCCTGCTGTGCCATCAGCTGTCGCACGGTGGTCGGAGCCAAGTAATCTTTCTCCCGATCAAGCTGACTCCCGACGGTCTCCCTCACTTTGGAAATGTGCTGTTTGGAGAAAATATGATCTCTGATGGACAAGCGGGCAGAGTACTTCACCCCACAGAGGGTACACTCTGGTTTGGTGCCTTCCGTTCCGCTTTGATTGATCATGAAAGGCTTCCCGATGTTAATTTTAAATTTCTTTTCCTTGGCCCTGGCATTTTGGAACCACACCTGGACCACGCGTTTGGGCAGACCAATCTCATTCCCTAGCATCTCACATTCCTGCATGGTTGGAGTTCGGTAGTCACTAAAGCAAGCCTTGAGGACCTTGAGCTGAAGATTGCTCATTTGGGTTCTGAACCTCTTGTGCCCCGGTCGATCGTTACTTTTGGATTTAAAGGGATTGCTGGATCCGAATGGATTTGGTGAACTCGGGTCAGCTATGCTCGATGTCTCACTGCGGTCAGCATTGTCATCGGGGTCATCCGTGATATAAAAGCTTTGGTCATGGTCACCATCTTTATCATTGAAATGTATCGAGGGACTGGTGAGAGAAAAGAGAAATTTTTCATCGCAAACCTCCGTGGTGGGTGTGGTTGCTGTTTTGGGCAAAGTATCGAGAGTTTTCGGCTCTTTAGGAGATAAAGCTGGCTTCACATCTCCAGAACTTCCCGTGGTGCTTTCCATCTCAGTGTTTCCCTCATCTCCTGTGGTGGCATCACTCATGGCTGTATTAACGGATGAAGTCTCATCAAAATCAGTTTTATTTTGATCATATCCAGTCTCAGCAGGAGGGGCATTTAAATTCTCTACATCCTCAGAACATTCTGCTTTGAAAGAAGAAGGGCTTAAAAGATTCTTCGGCGACAGCTCTGCTGTTTTGCTCACAGGTGTTGACACTGTAGAAGCCAATTCGTTCTCACTTGATAGATCGATTTTAGTTAATGGCAGAGATGGATAATCAAAATAAATGTATTTCTGTGGGCTTTCTGCCCCATCTTCTGCTGATATTAACGGGCTTGGTGGCAAGCTGTAACCTGCCTGCTTTCCTTCGTTCCAGTGCCGAGAGCGAATGTGGCTTTCCAAGGCTGACTTTGCCTTGAACAAGGCTCGGCAAAAGGGACACCGTTTATGCGACTGGGCGGGACCCACCGCCCGGAACTGGCCTTTCCTTTCTCGAGCTCGTGTATTCTGGAACCAGACTTGCACGACTCTCTTTTTCAGCCCCACTTCACGTGCAATGTGATCAAGCATTTTTCTGGTCGGATTGGAATCCAACAAGTACTTTTCATAGAGTATTTCCAGTTGTTCCGGGGTGATTGTGGTTCTCAAGCGTTTATCGCGGTGCTGGTCTTCACCGCTATTCCCTCCCTCCTTTTCACTGCAATTATTATCTTCTTTATCATCCAGTTTCCTTTTAAGGGAAGCAGCAACTGTTGCGGGGGCTGTGGCGTGGGAGGAACTGGTCTGAGGTGGCATTTGTGTGAGAGAACCGCTCAGCAGCTGGCCGGTCATCAGTGGGTTGTTGGGGTCGAAGATCATGTAGGGCATATCCATGGGCCTTTCCAAGAACGGAGAGTGAAGGAATTGGTTTTGAGCAGCGAGGAAGTGCATGTGCTGGTGCTCCTGCCAGAGTTCCAGAGTTGGGAAGGCAACTGTACACTGATCACATTGGTATTGTAGTAACTGTGGAGGTAGACTGTTCTGGAGAGAAGTCATGGAAATCTGCAGTGGACTGGAAGGGACCGGGGCTTGAGAGGCCGAGGGAGGTCTTCCAACAAGTTGGGGCTGTTTCGGGGGCTGGGGCTGGGGCTGGGGCTGGGCTGCCGAGGCCTGCGGGGGGTCTGCGGAAGTCGATGCTAATGGCAGGGCTGGTTTGGTGCCTTGCAAAGGGGTAGTGGGGTCGCTCTGCTTTGGCTTTTCTGTGGGATATTCTGGTTTTGGAGAAGCCTTCTCAGGTTCTGGTTTGGGGGATGGAATCAGCGGGGTACTAGTCCCAGAGCCAGAACTTGCTGCAGGGCCAGCAGGGTTTTTGGCTGCATCCGTTGGGCCAGACCCTGCGCAATGCTTGTACACCACTTGATCAGTGGCATCCATGGAGTCTTCAGTTTGGCTTTCGTCTTGGGCATCATCATCTTCATCCTTATAACACTGCTTTTTCTGATGCGTAATCAAGTCAAAGATCCTGGGGAAAACCACATTGCACTTTTTACATTGGTACTGCATGTTGCTGGTTCGAATGTACCGTTCGTTCGTGAGTTCTCGCTTTTCACTATCTTTAGTTTCTGCCTGATTCTCATAACTCTTCCGTGCTTTCTGACGAGCATTCTGGAACCATACAACAATAACTCGGGTAGGTAGATTGAGAACAGTGGAAAGTTGTTCTATTTCATCATCTTTTGGGTAAGCATTTGTGTCGAAAAAGTCTTGTAGAACCCTAAGCTGGTAGTCAGTAAACCTTGTTCTGGAAGACCTTTTACTGAAGGACGCATCAGATTTGTAGTGTTCTAAAGAGGAGGCCTGTGGCTCGATTCTGATATCTTCCAAAACAGTGATGGGAGGGTTACTGAAGTTGTATGGTGAATCCTTATTTCTCTGCCTTTCCTTAAAAAGCGTATTTCGAAACCAGTGCTTGATAACTTTTTGAGACAGGCCAGATTTCTCCGCCATTTCTTGGATCTGTTCTTCGCTGGGAGAATTATTGATGTCAAAATAAGCCCTCAGGATTTTGAGTTGATCGTCCGTAATTCTCGTCCGCGGGCGTTTGAACTGAGAATGCCTTAAGAAGTTGGGATCTAGTCCCAGCTGCTGCTGGCAAAGCTGGGTGAGATCGGCAGAGAGAGTGTCCATCTGCGGCAGCTGCAGGGCGAGCTGGGGAGGAAGTGCAGGATGTTGCACAGGTTGCATCATAATGGAAGGAAAGAGCGGAAGGTCAAGAGAAACAGGCAGCTGGACCTGTGGGGGTGCAGAAGGTGGAGGTGGTGGGGGAGGAGGTGGGGGAGGAGGTGGCGGTGGTGGTGGCGGGGGAGTGGGTGGTGGAGCTTGTAGAGGAGCAGAAACCGTGCTTGGGAGTTTTACAGGACCCATGGAAGAGGGCTGTGGAGGGGCTGGAGGCAGAGGGGGAGGCGGAGGTGGGGGAGGCGGCGTTTCCGGTGAAGATGGTGAAATTGGATAAAGCTTGTCATAGGCCTCCCGGTATTGGCGAGCAAATTTTTCCAATGCTCCATATGGAAAAAATTGCCCGTGTACATGTTCTTGGTGACTCTTTAAAATAAGAACATTAGAAAACAATTTACCACACGTTCCGCATTCCAATTTATCGGTATTGTCACCATCACCACTTTTGCCTTTCTTCTGGACCTTCTGCCTGTTTTCATTATACTGAATGACCAGTTCAAAACCAAAGTTTTCCAGTAACGCTTTGGCTGCATTTCCTCTGGCCCCTGAAGCTATTCGGGGGGGCGGGATGGACGGTTCCAAGGATTTTTGCTTCTTGACGTCTTTGCCTTCTTTGAGTCCTTCACCTTCACTTATAAATTCTTGCTTTGGCTTTTCTTGCTTGTCAGCAATCTCTTCCGCCTCCTTGTAAGACGGGATGTCCTTCATGACGGGGCAGTCTGCACTGGCTACGTTCGTTTGCTCTTGTTTCAATAATTTGCTTGCCTGCTGCTGTTGCTGCTGCTGCTGCTGCTGCTGTTGCTGCTGCTGCTGCTGCTGCTGCTGCTGCTGCTTTTGAGGCTGCAGCTGGGGCTGTGCGGCCTGGTATTGTGCTTGCTGCTGCAGTATCTGGAGTTGAGTCTGGCCTACGTGATGCTGAGTTTGAATCTGCTGCTTCAAGTCTTCGAGCAAGGATCCAGCCATGCCGGTCATGCCAGGCATACCAAAGGCGGCAGAGCCCGGCAAGCCCAAATCGGGCCCCAAGCTGAACTCTGTCCCAGGGATGTAGAATGGAAAGAGAAACTGAGGCTGCTGAAACTGCAGCAGTGCTTCTGGGGTCATAGGAAAATGAGGCAAAAAGGCCGGGTTTAGAAACTGAGGCTGAAAAAATGCGGCTTGTTGTTGCAGCTCGTGCTGTAGTTGCATCTGAATTTGTGCTGGTGACTGCGGTGGGTGATGCGTAGGTTGAGCAGAGATCATTTCCGGGGTTTGTTTTTTATTTAATTCTTTGGCATCTAGGTGGGTATCTTTGCTGCTTACTGCTGCTAAACTCATGGACTCTAACATCCCTTGGCCAGGACTACTGACGTTGGCTGCAATGCTGTGCCCACCGGCCACATGGCCACTCGGCTCCAGCTTCGCAGCCCTGGCCTTTGTCTGGTGGAGCACGGATCTCATGTGGATTTCCAGGGTCGAGCTTTGGCTGTACGCAACATTGCAGATGCTGCACTTGTAGGGTTTGTTATCTGTGCTGCTGTTGGTTTCTTGAGGAACAGGACTGGAGGCTTCCTGCAAAACCTTTTTCAACTTATGCAGATGAGAAACTGAATTATAATGGACCAAGAGAATGTTCTTTTGGGTGAATGACTCTTTACACACTGTACATTTATACGGGCGAGATGGATCGAGGAATTTTTCCATCGTGAAATTTGGCCCTTTTCTAAAAGGTAAAGTCCGCTTTGGTTCAGAGCCCATGTCATCTGGAATAGAGCTACTGTCACTTCCTACAGGACTTGCCTTCCCTTCATGGTCCACCTCATACTCTCTCTCCATTTCCTGCTCCAGGGCATGGTCATCCTGGGCCATCGTTTCACTCTCTGCCCAAAGTTCACCATTTACGGGCAGGGAGGCATACAGCTGTTGAAGTTCAGCCTCACTCAGTTCGGGGTGGCCTGCTTCCAAGTGTTTTTTTAAAGCCTGGAATGTACGGAAACTACGCTGGCAGAGATTACACATCGTCGCAGCCCGAATCGCATGATACTGGGAATGTATCTGAAGCTTCTGCATAGTCTTAAAAGCCAAGCTACAATGGTTACAGCGATACTTATAAACATGGCGGTCGGAAACGGAGAGGGGTTGCCTTTTTTGCTGTTCGCTTAACTGATCTTGCAGTGTGTCGGGTATTTTCACATCCTTACTGCTACTTTTATTCCATTCTGACACTTCCATGGGTTCTTTCGCTGGTTTCTGCTCCTCACTCTTTATTTCCATACTAGCCTTTGAATCCTCAAGACCTGCCATACTTTTGTCATCCATTGGACTTTCACCTGTGTAGAAGAAAGCACAAACATATTGCTTACAGAAAGAATACCTATTACTTAAATGCCAATAAATATTGGAAGTAGGAGCCTCTAATGGTTTCTGCTTAATTGACTCTTTGATGAAATATTTATTGAGCAACTACTATGTGACAAGCATGTACTAGATACTGGGGATATAAAGGCGAGTAAGAAATCACCCTTGACCTCAAGGAATTTCAGGATAGAGAAGAAAACAAGTCAAAGGTAACTGTAATACACTACAATCAGTGTGATACTGAGGGCTATAACCTCCATGTTCAGGAATTAGAACACACAGAATATTCTTAGTCAACGACACTTCATTCCCCAAGGGCAGTTACAGATAACCAGATATTAAATATGCCTTGAAAAATATGGCTCTTGGAATACGATTTTTCCTACCTACTTTTTTTTTTTTAACCTTTGATAGTGATCATCTTGGAGCACCACCACAAATGCGAGCTCCTAAGGGCGTTTCCCGCAGATCTGGGTCATAGGCTGGCATACCTGAATATTTCCCAGAGCCCTCCGCTGTGATGGCTGCAGGTGTGTCTCGCTCCGATTTCTCAGAGGTGGCTGCTGGCAGCAGCAAACTGTTTGGCATCATCACATCGGGGACAGGCACCTGTGAACAACAGAGGGGTTCTTGTCTAATGTACCCCAGAAACCCCATCACTCCTGCCATTTGGCAGGAGCATATCCCACTTACATTTTTTCTGACTGCAGCAGGGACATCTGTGAATCTTACAGGCCAATGCGATCCCTTCAAATGTCAGGTCAATGCTGGTGCAATGCTGTATTCATCTTTTCCTTTTTTAAGATATAGTTTAAAGGTTTTTGTGGGTCTATGCTCTTATAATGATAACCAAGAAAACTGAAACTCAGGGTGCCCACGTGAGTCGTCTGATTAAGATTATAGGCATAGGAATAAGACTGCAAAAGATGTGTTATTGAACAAGCTATGCTTTGCATCATATTTGCTTTCTTTTCTATGCAAAGGAGACAACAAATGGGCCTTGAATCGTGATTTCTGTAACACAGTAAGAGAGCTTTACGTAGCACAGGAGAAATAAATTTCTATCAACCAATAATTTCAGATTCTGTGTTGTTTGCTTTACAGAGATTATGCATGCATCAACATTTGGTATCCTTACTGTCATAAGCAGCTTCTCCACGCAATCCGGAGACACGCTGTGCAAATGCGTCAGATGCAGCTGGAGGTGCATTTTGTTGCTGAGGATGTCCTGGCAAAGGGGACAGCAGATGACGGGCTGCACCGAGTGCTGTGACAGGACATGCATCTGGATGCGACTTTGGTCCCTACTATTGTAGTTACAATAAGGACACTGATAGAACTGGAAAATATTGAATAAACATGGCCACTGTTAGTCAATGTATTTTGATGATTTCAGAGCATTAGAAGTAACACCAAGAGTTAATTATATTGCCAATCGCGATGTCTGCGTACCTTTCAACAGCATGGAATTTGAAGCTCTAAGGCTATCAGGAGCAAGAAAAAAGAAAAAACAGGTTTATACAGCAAAGGGAAAAAACATATTTACCTGTTCGTGACAAAATTTATTGTCCTCTGCAGGTTTTGACCTTTTTGTTGCAACATCCTCCTCTTTTGCCAGCAGGAGTGGCTGGGTTCCCCCTGCCACACTGACTTTTAACTCCTTTTCTGGTGTGATTATTCCTGATTCCCAAAAAAGAAGAGAATACCTCAATTTAAGAAGACAACGTCAAAATCTGAAAAATTTCATGTTCTCCAAATAGCTCTAACTCTATGTCCGCTGAATCACGAAAAGAACCGAACAAGCACTTTTAAATGATACTAGTCTCAAAAGGCAAAAAAGCACACTTCTTTTTGTCCGCCGACTAAGTGGACTTTATAAATATGTTTTAAAATGTACTCCTGTCTCATGTTTAGATAACCCCAGGTGCCCCTGAAAGATTCATCAATAACATGTACTCTCTGGTGTCTCAGAATGCCTTTATCCTATGGAAGCAAATCTACTCCCAGCCACAAATGCTAACTCAGAAAATAACTATTTTTACTGATGTTGAATATAATCATCTCTTTTCTAAAATTCGTGGATCCTGAACACCTTTCAAAATGCTCAGAAGAGCTGACTAGTCATAATTCAGAAATAAAAATAATCTTTTTACCTGGCCAATGTAGGATTCAAAAGTGAACTATATACATTGCATATCTGTTGCTGCTTTTTGTCATTCATTCTTTGCTTTAAATGTTTCAGCAGTTGACTGCAGGCGTAACATGGCAGCCCAGATCTCAAGAAGACAATTGCTTTATGAGGTTAATCCGAATATTCAGTGTTAAAGATGGTTTAAAATTTCGCCCAGATGAGCAATGTAATGTGTAGGAGCCTCACACACATCAAAGAAAAGAGTGTGCTTCTAATTTCCCAATCTAACAGAAAATTCTTCCCAGCATCAATTTTCCCGATAATCTCCTCTGCGAGGCTGGATATTACAGGGACGTTGGGTAGGCATGTCACATACATCTCACGACAAACACAAAACCTCATTTACCAGCCATTCCAATCTCATCATAGCGCGGCATCATCTGACCTTTTTTCTGCTGTTTATTATGAGTATTTCTAATTTTAACTTTCAATTTTCACCATCTTCCAGTCAATTTGCAACTAAATTATTTCCAGGGTGAGGACGCTATCGCTGGACAACTGGGTGCAAATACATCTGGAAATGCAATGAAGCTAAACCATTGATCGCTATCGGACCCAGCGTAAATATAGAGTCTAGGCGTAATCTGATTGTATGCTGTGCATGAAGATTTATCTTGATTTTTTTTCAATCCACAGACGGTTCATATAAATGAACAAATTGCACCTTACTGCAAAATAACCCAGTTTTAATTTAAAAATAAGGTCAAGGATGTTAGGGAAACAAAATAAAAATGAACCAGAAAATACATTCTTTTTTAATCCTGGATAGAGATGCCTGTTTTACACCACATAAATAATTTCAAGAATTTCAAATTCAGAAAGAAATTTAAAAGTAAGAGTGACTCTGAGGGGACCAAAATTAAAATAGAATTTAAATGACGTAATGACAGTAATTTTACTTCTCAGGGTTCACAGTAGGTATAGAACTAATGCTATGTATTCAACAAATTACACTGATATTGATTTCTAGATTGACAAATACTAGATGTTATTTGACTTGGTACATTTGCTCCTATATATATATATACACACACACACTTACATATAGAGATATATATCTAAGATATATATATATAGATATATATCTTGGAGAAAATTACGTTCTTTCTAGATATCTGAAAAAATAATTTATCATATTTGTATCTGAGGGAACTTAAATTTGAGATAAACTGAAAAGTTTCATTACATTGATTAAACAATATTCAAGTATTTGATATCTAAAAATATGTCAAACACAGCAATGTTTATTTCATAATTAGTTCTGGCATCAAAAATATGTTTTTCTTTCTCAAAGCAGAGTGTATTTGTGCTGTTAAAAGTATTAAAAATAAACATTTAGGAAAACAATATGATACATAGTGTTTGCAAATAAAATTTACTAAAGGTGTCAGATCAAGTTGTATAAAATGGTTGTCATTTAAATTAGCAAATGCATATCAGTTGCTTTCACTTGTGAGACTAGAAGATTCTTCTTCAAAAATTCCCCATGGATGAGAAAGAATATGTTCACCTAAGAGAATAATACTATGTCATATTTCCTTATCACTCTTTTGTACATGGTAGAATTGGACATCACCCAATAAAAAGCTGGTCCAATTCCCTATGCTATGGAAGACTGTCACAGACAAGTTGAAAGAGAATTTTCACGACTCTTGTTGCTTGCAGGCCCTAGAGAACATCGGAAAAGAATAAACCTTCCAGGAATTCCTAAATCTATTAAATGCAGAGCTATGGCCTAATTTTTATAAGCATATATATTCTAATATCGGGACTATAAAAGGATCAAAAAACTTACTGATTCTTCAATGTTTGAAACATTTTACTAAGACTACACTATTCATTGGTGTACATATTTGGTATCACTAATCCATGTTCTCATTTTTATGCCTATTAATATTCATCAACAATATAACTGCTTTCGAATTTAGTGTTGCTCCATGCTGCATCAAGAAAGTAAGAGTTAAACTTTAGGATCATTATTTCATAGCCATTATGGTAACTCCTGGCTACAGTATTCCACCCAATATATGTGTCAACTTCAATATTTTCTGCCTAATTAACTTAGTTAATTAAACCATGATCTTAATGTAAGCTATGAGCTTCCTAAAGACCACTTTATTTCAAATTAAAAAGAAGTTATAAATAAAGGCTAGACCCCCTAACTGGAGCTAGGCCCCCCAGAAATGCGCACCGTTGATAAGAAAAAGCTGAGAATGCTGAGATGTAAAACAAAGGACAAAACAGACTCGAGGACAGGCAGGTCATCAGGATTATTTGCAAAGATGATGGAAGTTACATTGTATGCACACATGCCTTTTCTACTCAAAGGGGTGCTGCTATTTCAGGTATTATGGACTCTCTAGCAAATTAAAGGGAACCCACTCTGGGGTCTTTTTCTGAATTGTCTTATGCTAGAAATATCTTGCATTAAATAAGGGCCAATCAATTTTAGGAAGGTTTCAATTAAGTTTTGTGATTATTCATAGTTTACGTCTACAACTTTATTTGAAATAAACCCTGTTTGTTACCCTACACGAAATCTTGAAGTGGGATCATAATTCATTTTGTGTTATTAAGGACATCACAATCTTCTCAAAAAACAATGTCATCTTAAAGCGTTTTAACTAAAAAATGAAGTCCAATTACAAATAAGTGCTGCCAAATAGATAAGCCAATGATTATCTGTCCGTTATGGGATTATTTAACTTGCATGAGATCGCTAATATAAAAATGACATAATTCATTTCAATTCAGAAGCCGCCTACTTAATAATTTTCAATCCCTAAAATACAGAAGGTTGTAAAATGGTTCATACTCATAACAAGTGAGGAAAATCCAATGACACATGTGTACTCAAAGCAAATCTGGAAAAAACAATAAAATAAATACTGAATTGTTATTTATGAATCAATGTATTTGATAAAGTTTGAATACTATAAAACTCGGATATAAGAGAAGATGCTATTCAACTCCAAATAATTCTAAATTATAATTACTGGTACAGTATTCTTTCTAATGAGACTAGAATGAAAGGATAATTTTAATTGCAATAATGAAGGATAATTTCCATCTTTCCTCATGTTTACTCCCTTATTAAAAAGTGGTCCCCTTAGCCATGGCAGAGACATATTACATTTTCAATGCAAATGTATTAATCTGGATAAACTCTATATTAATTCTTGTACTGCACAGAGCTATAATTTGGATTATAATTAATCTAAAGTGGCACTAGATTTAAATGACAATATAAATGAGGCATTAGCAGGCTTTTCTATTATGAATGAATATTCAACAAATATAACTTGCATATTGCCATGTCTCATTTGGAGAGCTCCAGTCCTAGAGATTAATGTCAGCAATACAGCACAACAGCTTCCACAAACGCAGCCTTCCTAACGTGTGTTAATTCCTTCCTGCCTCAAAAATTCCACGTGAAAGTGGGGTCATACTGTTTTCCCATCTAACACATGAAGACAGTGATTAATCTCTAAGTTTGCCGGTATTTTTGACATTTATAACTGACATAAGGCAAAAACAACATACACATAGTGGTTATACAATCACTAGAATTATTTACAAGGAAAAACTTCACGTAATAATTTTTTCACCTAATCAGATTCAATTTAGAAAGCAGAAAACTTTGCTGAAACGTCATGTTAGTTGTCAATAAGAAGAGCTGACTTGAAGTCTGCAAGGTTTCAAGGCTAAATATTTGCATCTCAGTAATTGCTTTTAGTTGGTTCTTAAAGCCCATTTTTATCCCTATAGATATACCTGGGGAGGCATTTCTGCAGGGATAAAAATTTGTTTTAAACAACTACCATTATGCAATGCTCTGTATCCTCTCAGTTGCCCGAGTCCTGTCTAGATGATACAATTAGGCGCCCAAGAAAGGACAATAACTCATCAGCCCATTAGGGAGTGATCGAGTCCATTATTTATGCAGAGCAGTAAACGGTGCTGGTGGAGATAGAGCCCTGCATCCAGGGTATGTTCCAAAAGAGACTCTTCCCTCAATGGTAAGACTGGAGCCATTTTCAAGAGATTCCCAGGATCCATTCTTTACAAGGTATTAGATATTTAAAACCAAGTATAATGTCATATACCTAAGTACTACTCAACGAACACTACGGTGTTATCTGTGTGTATTACACATCTCCTAAAGAATGGGGGAATATACTCTGCAATCTCTTTTGATACAACTGTAAGAAAGACGCCACTGAATGCAGACAGAATCCTGCCTTCTCTGATCTGGTCAAGCAGCTAGCCTTGATGAGGTCCATCCTATAGAGTGAATAAACTGACAACCTTGCTATTGCTCATTCCTTTCAAAGGAGGTTTAGATGACACCACCCTTGACCTTAATGGAACACAAGGTACTTCAAATTCCTTGTCAGTAACCCTAGGAACCAGCTTACTAATATACAGCTATGGCATCTTTTTCACATTGCTTTAGGCTCCATACCAACCTTAGCTCCTCTTTTTAAATCAAATTAGAATCATATGTCAGCCACCATATCCTGGATGCAAATTTAAATGGCGCGTTTCTCACTGGACTCCTGAGAGAAATTTAGCATTGAAGGGTGTGGGGCAGGGAGCAGAGAGGCCCTTCAAATAATTTCTGAAGGGAATGTAAATCTTAGATATGCAAAGACTGAATTACAAATATGGGATAACTCAGGTTTAAATAAACTTGCACGTAAAAATGATATTTTTTGCATGACCCAATGTCTTCATAGTGAAAACAAGCTTCTTTATATGCGGCTGTCACTGGAATTCAAGGCAAAGATAGATGACTACCTGAAACTAATAGGCTTGAACCCGTTTCAGCACTTCTTCTGCTTCAATGAGTCCAACATAATAAAACTAGGTATAGCGTGCAGCAAAAGTAGCCAATGTAATATTCATTGCGACCATAGATTTCCATCTCATACATACAAAGCATGGATGAAGTCATATATTTGCCAAATCAAACACAGAAAAAGCCTTAGGTATCCACACCAGATGCTGGCCTAGGGTTTGTTTGTGCACAAGTAAATGTCATGACACAAAGGTTTGTTTTCAAAGACAGTAGCTTTCATTACTGGGATTTGTCTATTCTAGAAGATCAAAATTACCCAGCACCTAATCCCTTTTCAATGATATTTCCTCTTTCTTAGGCTGAATCATCTGTAAACTTTTTCACTGGATTTGTTTGAAATGCCTCAAATAGATGCCCTTAAAAAGGGCAAATTCCTGAGTAGAAGTTGCAAAAAAGCAAGGAAAAATAACATTTATTTTTAGGGTTACGTGGTTGGGGGGCGGCGCATGTGATTGAATGAAAAGATTCAAGTGATATCTAATCCTGTGCTTATGAAAAATTAATATGCCATCAGAGGCATCACAAGTATAGCGAAGATTAATGAAAGGCGCTTAAAAAATTACAAGCACACAAACTGATTTGATTAAAAAATAATCTCGCTGGTCGTCCTGTAATATTCTTCAACTTATCCACATCTATTCTGTCAGATGGTTATGATTAAAAATAGGTCAATGGGAGGCTACTGATAGAAATCACATGGAAAATGCACATGCAATGAATAGTAGTGGGAATGTTCAGACAGTTTAAAATGAATAAAAGCTTTTAATAAGCTTGGGAGGGGGTGAAGGAAAGGCTGATTGGAGGGAATGGAGGCGGGGGAAGGAAAGGTTAAGGATTTCAGCATCTTACCAGAGTCTTTATTAGAGTTTTTGCCTTCACTATTGTCTCTCTCACTTGTGTCTTTCTCATCATCCTCTGCCACTGCTGTAGGTTTGATCGCTCCTTCTGCCTCCTCACTTTGTTCTTCTGTTAAAAGAGGCAGACCAGTCAGTAGCATTCAAAACCCCAGCAAAATGCACACGAAAATAAACGAAGTGACCATTTAAAACCGTTGTTCTTTATGAATCACCTGCAGACATTCATTCCCAAGAAAGAACAGAAATTTATTCAAAAGTCTGCGTTAGAACCTGCTATTTCAATGCAAATTTTTATCTAAAGCAACTTCTTTTATATCCGTTGAGAAAATGTGCCTCTACTAAATTAAAACAAATCATTTTAAGTACAGATTAAGCAAGAAAGCTTTAAAAATGGGAGTCAGGCGATTCTGTCATTTCAGGAGTAGAACCTTCTAAACAACATGGACCCACTGTTCCATGCACTTGTATAGATGGCAGAACAAATCAAATTCTTAGAGAAATTTCCTTGTGAAATAATGTGATAACGATGGGTTAAATGTAAGACAGGTGTTATTCCTGCCTTCCGTCCTTAGACCCCAGAGGAATTCTTTGGGATTTGTCAGTGTAAGGTCTCAAAACTTCAGTGACATTGGGATTTTTTGTTTTCTATAGGGGGAGCTGTGCAGGGCCTAGGATATAAGACGGTGTACTTCTCTGACAACCACATCACCCCACACCTCATTCACGGGTTCACACCAGCTAGATTACATGGAAATCCTCATAGTAACTCAACCCGATTTAATTATTCTGTAAATCTTAGCTATGCTGCTGCTGGTGGATTAATCTGTTTATGCAGTTAGCCTCTATGCTGGGTCTGTGTCGCACTAATCCGTGAAAGGCCCACTGTTCTCTTTCATCCTGTGATCATTTGTCTCTCACTGTGCTGATGTCACATTTTAATGAATTTTTAGCAATCTGAGTAATGCCAGATAACCAGGCTCGCAACTCCCCACAGCATGCCATGCTGTTTTCATTGCAGCACAAAAAATAAAAATCATATTCTCCTGTTCAGGTAGGAATTACATAAATTAGGAGAAGAAGGTAAAATGGGATTTGAAGCACCAGGCTGCTCAATTTCATAAAATCTTTAATGACCATATAAATTAACCCTGGAAAGGCAAAAGGTCATCGACACACATTTGCATACACTCTTCTATTTGCTTTTGATAAGCAGAGCTTTTATGCAGAGAACATGATACAATTAACCCTTCAATAACCAGACAAAACGCTGCTACGGACATTTTAAGTGTCAAGCATTAACTGAAAATTACACACTGCATAAAATTTTCATTGCAAATGCTATAGTGATTGAAAGGGGAAATCGTGGCCCTCTCCATACCCCATGTTTTATTAATAACGTTCTGACAGCAGAATGAAATATCCACTGTCATATGTAGCAGCTGAGCACAAAAAAAAATCGCTATTTAGTGCCTTACTTGCTAGCCATGCTCTGCAACTGTGGAAGCAGAAAACAACAGAAGGGGGGCAGTTTGGGGCTTAATGGGGGAAACTCCCAAAAGCTAAGGGGGAAAAAAGGACATTTAATACACTCAAACTAAGAGTTTGTCTCAACTGTGAGTCCTCAAAGGCACCATCCAAATCCATTTATTCCATAGCTGCGCTTTGCCACTGCACCAAAGCAGAGGGGAGGTCCTCTCGGAGGGTCAGGCATCTGAGGGTTTGGGGAAAGCTTCTCTTCCAGGCAGACACACATGGAAATTTTACTTTAAGAGGAGAGAATCAACACTTCTTATGGCTCTAGGCTGCTTTCACCCGTCAGTGATAATTACTGATCAAACACAGGCTCCCTCCTCCCAGCATGGGGCTGGCCTGGGTGGGGACAGTGGCCCTGCTCGGTTTGGAAGGCTGGAAAGCTGAGATCATGACTGGCTTGGGCTGTGTCCCTGCCAAGTCCACACACATGACGCGACATCCAGTGTCAGGCTCGCGACCTACGACAGCCCATGGCAATTACTTTTCAGCTCATCCTGGGGAAGAGATGCAAGGCTTCTTTGAGTAGATTTACTGGACCTTTCCCCCAGGGCTGGAAAATGAAGTGTCAGAGTACTACTGAGTGTCCTTATCTTGAGGGGACATAAAATTGTAAGGGCTATTGGAACTCACATTAATAAAACATTGTGTGTCAGGAGAAGAAAAGGAAAATTATGCAGGTACTCAAAGAAAAACTACAGTATAATCTGGGTCTCATCAGACAGCTTTGCAGGGTCTTCTTCATTTTCTAGTAAGTGTTGTAAGTGTGAGAGAAATTCCCAGACATGTTCTTCTATACATCACTGTGGTGTCTGACCTCAGCCTGACCCTGGCAACAGTTTGAGAAATCTGAATGTGAACAAAGACTCTGTGTCAGCAGCAGGGCAAGACTGTGGGATAGACGCTCCCCATCAACTTAATCGCAAACAGCAGCTCTGAGGCCATAACTTCGCCGGGCTATTCCAAGCCACAACTCATAACCTCAAGAGGTGGATTTGCCCGCACGGCCTCTGCTCTGTGACTTTCTTTCCCCCTCTCTTTTCTGGTTCCTCCTTTGAAGTAGGCAGGCAATTAGTTCTAATGCTCAAGCAATTCGGACCCGTTTTGTGGTTTAGAAGGTGAAAGCTGTTTATTACAGGTAGGCTCTTTGGAGCCATAGAACTTTGCGAATTTTTAATCATGCAAAAAATAATCAAAGGGTAACTTATATACCCCATAAAGTTTCATACAAGTCAGAAAAAAAGTGACTTTCATTCTTGAGACTTTCGGAAACAAATTTGACATTCATTTCATAAACAGACTTTAGAGTCAAGAGTATTAAGGTGGAGAAACCACTTTCTCTAGAAATATTATAGGTTGGATTTGGGGTTAAGGAAGGTGTGACTACATTCTAATTTTCAAATACCACATTTCCTCAGTTGTAAAATGCTGTAAAATGTAAAATGCTTTATAGGAAAAAGATATATTTATATGTATATATGAGACACGAAATGTATTAAAGGGATGCCTTAGAACTGAGGGAAATTATATAAAATTCCATTACATAAAATTCCAAAGTAGAGATACTAAATTATATCAAATTCCAAAATAAAAATGCCAAAGCAGTTTTCATTTTCATCAATAAGATTCTTTGCCAATATATTACATGTAAGAATAATAAAAGTATTATAGCATTTCATATTTCTGTTGTATTCACAGTATATGTATTCTTAATTATTCTTTTGCCTCCTGGAATATAAAAAATACAGTATTTATTCATGTGTTAAACTTTATGATAGGAATGTACTTAAGCTTAAAATGTATATTAGGGTCCAGTAGAACCTCCCAATTTTCAGATAAATAATACATTTTTATTTCAAAATGATTCAAAACAAAAGGAAGAAGATAAAATAATACTGTAGTCTTAGATTATATAAGTATGGTACAATTAACCTCCCTTAGCATTTTTATCATGCTTAAAATGATGATCTTATAAGTTACTCTATATACATACATAAACTATATTTAAAAGTTTTTGAATGACTAGCTTAGAGCATTTTCATTTGAACAATGTAAATGATTAGAAAATCACTATTAATCTATAAAATTATAACTGCAATTTCTAAGCAAATCTACTTCAGTGATATCTCTCTGATTTAAGCACCAGCCAGTTGTGCTCGGTTCCCATTGCTTTATTACACAGTTGGGTTTGGGAACCCTCTGAATCTTGTAAGGAAAACACTGCATACTTTTTAAGCCCATGGAGTAAGCATTTAAAGAGGAAGCAGAGAAGAGTAACTTCAACATCTTCAGCTTTATATATTGAGCATCTCTTCATGACAGCCATCTTGTAAGAATTCTTGCTTGGACTCCTCCATTGTCTCCTGTCCAGCACCCCCGCACCTCCAAATCTATCATCCATATGATCTACTTAAATGTGATTTCCCTACTTGAAATCTTTCAGTGACTCCCATCACTTACAAAGAAAAAGCTCAATCTTCTGTATGTGGCAAGGTACCTGGTCCTCGTCTACATTCCAATCTCATCTTTCTTCACTTCCTACCTAGCATTTAATGCTTAAGTATAATCTTCTCAAACTCTAGGGCATCAGAATCACCTGGAAGACTTATTAAAACACAGATTGCTATGCTCCACCCCTGGAGTTTCTGATTCCGTAGGTGCAGAGTGAGGCCTGAGAATTTGCACTTCTAAGTTTCCAGGGACCACACTATGAGAAGCACTGTTGTAGAAATACGCAACTGTTATTAATGCCCTCTTCCTCCTCATAAAACATACCATTATACTTTCTTGTCTTTCCTAGAACCACTTTTCTCCACTATATAACTCCCACTTTTCCTTCAAGCCCAGCTTGGGAAATATCAGTTTCATCACCGGTAAAAATGGAGTTAATAATACCTACCTCATAAGTTTGTTAGAAGATAATGTATAAAAACCAGTCAGCATAAAGCTTAACACAAAATAAGTATTAAAAAGTACTAGCTGCATTATTACTACTAATTGCTTCTTTCTCCAAAAAGTCTTCCCTGAATGTTAAACTAGTATCAATGTTTATGGATAAGTTTTATTTTTTTCTTTTTCTTGTGCATTGATGTCAAACCACTTACCCTATATGTGGAAACTACTACTTCTCCTAATAGATACACCTGTACCGAAAACAGTGAATATCTTATTTATCTTTGTGCCAAAAACACCTGGATTGGTGCCTGAAATACAGTAGGCAGGCAATGTTAGTTGGAACATTGAATTGAATTTAGAAAGCAAAATTCAGAGAAGAAAAGGAGGAGGTCAAAAGCAATGCTGTTTCTCTATGCCCCTTCAATAAAACTTCAAAGGAGCATTGGTTTGGTTTGAGTCTGGTTTGCATTTTTTTGCATTTTCTCTTTCTACTAAATCACATTCATTATTCAACCCTCTCAAGAGTGGCTTCACACCAACTGCTCTTCTCAAAGCCGCCAATGACTTCCATGCTGCGAAATCCAACAGTCACTTTTCCGTCTACATCTTACTTAACTTTCTTTGCTCAACAGATATTAGTACTCTCTTCTCCTTGAAAAAGTTTGCTCTCTTGAATTTCATTCCATGGGACTATCGCAATTTTCATCCTACTTCTCTGAAAGTTCTTCCTTATTCTCTTTCGCTGAGGCCTCCGCCATTAAGAATCTAAATATTGGAACGTTTCCAGTGTTGGTCCTAAGCCCTATTCTCTTCTCTTCCTACTTCTCTATCTACAAAAAAGAACGTTTGATTTGAGGAAAAATAACGATCTCCCTAGGTAATCTCATCCAGATCCATGGCTTTAAAATTTTATATCTCCATTTGGATGTTTAGAAGGTATATCAAACCTAATATGCCCAAATCAGAGCTCTTGACCCCCCTTAACACACCTCCTTCCGTGTCCCCTCAGTCTCCACCATCTCAGTTAATAGTGCCACCATCCACCAAAAGCAAGAGTCCTCTTTGACTCTTCTCTTTCCGTCTTACACACATACAAGCCATCAGAAAGTCCCATTAATACTAATTGCAAAATATTTAGTATAAACTACATCCATCTACTTCTTTACATTTCCATTGCCAGTACCCTTGATTGCTTACTGGTATTTTGAAATGGTCTCATAACTAAGATTTGCTCTTGCTTTCCTACAATTTATTCGTTACATCCTAATAAAATAAAGCTGTTCTGTTTCAACCCTGCCATGGCTTCCTATTTCACTTAGAATAACATATCAACTCCTTACTGTGATTGAAATGATCAGGGCTTTGTCTTTCTTTATGACTTCACCTTATGCTGCTCTTCTCACTCACTGATCTTTCTTCGCATTAGCCTTCTTTCCTTTCCAGGAATAGGACCAACTTCTTCCCACCTCTGTCTGGAACCCATTTCCCCAGACTCTGCTTAATTGGCTCCTTCTCATTATTTAGGAGTCAGCTCACCTGTCATTTCCTCTGAGAACTTCTCTGGCCACTGCTTCTAAAGTAGTGCATCACTGGTCACATGGTGGGGTCCTCAGACTGTAGTGGGAACTGCTATCACCTGGAGGGCTCGTTAAACCACAGATGCCCCATCCTCAGTGTTACTGATTCAGTAAGTGTGAGGTGGGGCCCAAGAATCTGCATTCTTACCAGCTCCCAGGTTGTGCTGTGCTGCTTGTAAAGGGATCATACTTCGAGAACCTCTGCTGTAGCACATTATCTCTTTTACTTCATCACATTTATTGCAATCTGAAAATAACATTTGTGTAGAAATATTGTCTAAAACTGGGGAAACTCATTTGTCTTATTCATAACTCATGTCCAGCAATCCTTGTATTTTGAGTGAAATTGACGATTCCTAGTTTTCTTACTTGGGGTAACCAGGTCTATGGTATGATATCAATTGAGATGGAGACAACAGAAAAAAAAGGTAGGCATAAAAGAGAAGTCCAATTTGGAACTCGTTATATTTGGCTTCTCTGTGGAACATCTCCATGAAAATATCCAGAAAGCATGGAAGTATCTAAATATAAAGCTTCTCAGAGAGATTGAGATGAAGACGTAGATTTTGGCGTCTCTGTTTACAAAACAATAAAGAAATGTATTGACAGGGAATAGTCTCTCTTTGGTTTGACATTTTCGTCACAGTCCTCATTTTTGCCTTATTACTTCCAATCTGGTCATTAATGAAATCTTTTGATTGGCTTGAGGTGGGAGAGGGGAACTGGGTTTATGTTATTTTATCTTAAATATGCTCTCTAGTTTTCTAGGGAAAAATAACATATAAAATAAAAAAAGCATTCATGAGACATGCATAGGTGAAGGTAAACTTAATTTTGAAAAAATTTTTAAGAGGGAAGTCCTGACTTTATATTGGAGGAATGTTTTTACTTGCAAATTTTTTTTTAAGTATTTCAATCCCCCATTATGAATGTGAAGGACTTTTTATAATCATTTTTTTCTATGTAGCACATTATTATTCCAATTGTATAAATCTGGAGACTGGGATCACGCTTATATAAGCAGAAATAATGAGGTGTGTTGTAGCAATGTGGGTGAATTTCCTCTTAAATTATCTGAATATAATGCAGCTAAGAAAGCAGAGCCGTCATTTTTTAACATACACATACACATGCAAAGCATAGGGGTGACTAAATGTGTTGACATGGCCGTACAAAATCCAATCAACTCATTAATGGCCAAAAATAACTCCTCTAACCAGGTCGTCTGACTTAGGGAAAAATAATATCGAGCAAAAATAACTCCACCAACCAGGACGTTTCACTCGGGGAAAAATAATATCTGGATTATTGCCTTATACTTTGTATAAACCTAACCATTCAGGTCAAACTTCATAGTGTACAAATGCAGATGTGAGAAATTGTCCAGCAGAAGTTACTTATCTCTTTGAGAAGTTACTTTACATATGCATCCAAATATTGGGTATGTTTGATTTTGCTTTTAACTTAGTTGTATAAGGGATCTGACCAGATGTAATTAGATCAGTTCCAGAGATACATTTATTACATAAATTATGAAAGTAACAAATGGAACTCATTTAGGACAGACAAGGTTTTGGGAAGGAACAGATCGGTTACCTGAGCTTACTCTCAACTGCTGCTCAGCAAGGTCATCCTCACAGGTCCTGGCTCCCAAAGAGGCAGTTTCTGCAGAGGACATCAGAGGGAGAGGTAATCAGCATATCGCATCCAGCTCTGCACTCGCAGCCAATGTCACAAGAACCCAAAATCTGGCCTTCAAAGACATAAGCATCAGGTGAGTCTCCAGGGCACCCTACATCCCAGTGAGCCGTGGTCAGCAAAGTAAGTCCAAGGAGTAGTATGCTTAGATCTAATTCTCAATGATCAGCAGCACACACCAAAGACAGTAACATAGATAAAAGACGGAAGCAGGAAAGGCTCACGCTGATGTTTACCTCTTGGATATCTGGCCAAGACTACATTATAGGATTATGTGTTATAACGACAATGGCACATTACATAAATCATGAGGTTACTCTGACTTCTCTGTCAAGGTATCAGAAGAGGAAAAAAAAAAAACCCTCAACATATGATAGCTGATGTGAGACACCAAAGCAAAAAAACAAGCGCTTGAGGAAACCTGAAGGATATGTCCAAGTCATCAGTAAATCCACGTGTTTATTCTGATCTTTTATTTGAGCTACAGAGCAGACGTGCCAACAATGTCCTGGTTTGCGAAACTCAACCCCCAACACAGATCATTATTTGCTTCTAACTCCATTCGTCTTTTGTGTTCCTTGTTGTAGGGAATCTATAAAAAACAACGAGACCTCAGAAATCACCATCAACACCTCATTCTTTCTCCATACCGAGTCATCATATGCTGTTGATTCCATTTACCATGTCTCTTGTCATGTGTTCCTCTGTTCCTCTGTCATCGTCTCTTTCCTGACAATTTCAATAGCTCCACAACAATCTCCCTGTCTCGAATTCCTTGTCTTTCCAATCTAATCTCTCATAATATTTCAAGCGCTATCTTTCAAGAATACAGAATTGCTTGAGTACATGGCCCTACCACTTTCTAAGTATGGGACCTCAGGTATATTACTTAATCTTTCTAAGCCTCAATTCCCTCATTTGTAAAATGCAGATGTAATTGTATAAGTAAGCAACAATTGTGACAGAAAATAATACAAACAAAGGTAAAAAGTGATATGGTCTTCAAAGTGAGAAAAGGCCAGAACTTACTGAGAGATTAAAAAAGTTGTCACACAATTCTTATACTGCCAAAGAGACTCACGTTTATCTAATATTTCCAGGTAATAGAATCTCTGGTTGATTCTGAAAGCTTTAATTAAACAAATAATTAACCTTGAAAATAGATGTGCACACCAAGGCACTATCATTGCATTTACTAATTGTTTTTCCTGCTATGTACAAAACCTTTGGCCTTTGGTGGTAAACTATTTAAAAACAATACAATCATAATAAACAGTCAGGGCCCTCTCCTCAAAAACAGCAATGAAAAACCACTATGTTTTCTTGTAACTATATTTTAAATTAGTCTTGAAAGGAGGAATTTATCCTGAGTCCTTGCTTATAAATCCAAGAATAACTTCCAAATAGATCACTGTATTGATGCCCATCCAAGATGTCACTCAAGAAGCCCACCTCCTTCCTCTTGGCAACCTCTCATCTCTTTATGCCTTGATCAATCTTGTTCCTTTTACTTTTTGAAGGTCTTTCTGTTCTTCTCCTGTTAAACTCTCATTCTTCCCGCAAAATCCAAAGCAAGTGTCACATCCTCTGTGCTCCCACGACAATTAGCTTATACACACGTTTCAGCACTCATCATGTATTGTGATAATTGTTTACATGATCCATGTGTATTTCCCCAATAAATTGTGAGTTCCTCGAGAACTTTCATCTTCACAGAGTCCCAACTAAGGACAGAGGGAGGCTTATCGAAGTCACCTCGGGCACTTTTATTCAAAATACTAATCTACACCCTATATCCTGAAACAAATGCATCTCAAGATGAGAATTTTACAAAAGCTTTTCAGAGGCCCCAGACTCTAAATTCAAAGCTCTTCCAATTACACCAAAAACAGACACTAATTCCTGTTACATGTATAAAAATGTGTGCAAAACCATCATCTTTCCCTCTTTTCTAGCACAAAATACACAATTTATCAAAGAATCCTTACCATTCCATACACACACGCATACACACACGCACCCACACTTCAAAGAATCAAATAGACTTGTTCAAAGTTATTAGCAGCACCTAAGTGAATTTGACCAAATGACTGTAGTCCTTAAAGATGCACGAAAACAAAAATAAAACAACAACTTACTAAGTTTATATCTGTGCCAGGTACTATGATAAGCTATTTCTGTAAAAACAGTCATGTGATCCTCACAATAAAATCATGAGGCGATTATTAATCCTTATTTACAAATCAGGAGACTTGGGCTCAAAGAGGTTAAAGGAACGTGCCCCAGGTCACCAAGTTGGAAAGTGACAGAACCTAGAACGCAACCCAGGTCAGCCTGGTATAAAAGTCTGTGAAATTTTGGATGTGTCCAGTTGTAATACCATGATATTTAAGAGCCTGTAAAGGTTTTCCTATCTTTGTGAAGGCCAGAAACCAAGTGAGGAAAAAAAAGAAGGAAAGTTTTCACTAGTCCTGCTAAAATTCTGATATTTCATAAAAGATTTACATTCCTTGAATATAAATGTAACCAAATAATAGTTTGGTGCCACACTGAAATCATTTCATTTGATAGTGATTCAAGGAAATGTACCAAATGTCAAAACCAGAAACTGTTATTTAATCTCGCAAATTAGGTTACGTGGCGTTTGGAGACCGCTCCAATGAGAGCGGCTTATGCAAATAATTTTATAAAGGAATGTAATTCAGGATGCCACAGAATTCTTTTTAGATTCTCAACAGTGTTGCTCCCTTTATACAAATGATATAAATATTTTAATCAGGAAGCTTTTAACTTATCAAACGAACTGATTAATCTATACTTTTCTGCCTGTGTAAAATGAAATGTTTAAAATCTCATAAGGATACACAGCGTCTTTCAATATTTCACTTTAATAATTGCTTTGTAATAACAAATCTGACTGCTGTTAACACGATCTGTCTCCTTCACTGGTGACTTAATTAGATTACTAATTTGTGTTCTCTAGCACCTGACCTTTCTGGTTTAATACTATTAAAAAATAATACCACTGACTTAGTTTATCCAGTATTCTACTCTCATCCGTCAATTTGGGGATGATCACACATTTGAAAATGGTACCAAATTGCTCTATTTTTATTAACACAACACGAGAGTAATTGGCCGCATTGTCTGTGGAACAGTGTATTGATCACCACAAACACCATCACCAACAGCAACGTCTTACAGAGTCTTTGCTCTGTGCCAGGTACTGACCGACTCCCCTTATATCCGCTAGGACAGCCCTAGCAAGCAATGGAACTATATGATTTGAACCCACATCGTTTTATTTCAGGACTAGTTCTCTTAACCACAATGCTATACTGAGCCATATTTTTAAAATCCTAAAAGCAGCTTTCTTTTTGATTCTACAGGGATTTCTCAAGTTCATTTTTCTCATTTGGCCTGAATTCTGCTAACCACCTATTCCCATAGCCTAACCCAAATGGTTACATCTCCAATGACAACACTTAAAACCTAAACTGTAATGTTCCCTTCCCTTTAATTATGAGAATTCAAGTTCTCGCCACAGCTCTGTCTCATGTCCTTGCACTGCCACACCTACTCACAAGCTTATCCATCTCGTGATTCCTTTTCATCCTTCCCCTCCCTTTTACAAATAATATTGACTCTGGCAAGTAAACTGATAACTTTTAGGCATTTAATCTTAGTTCAAGTATTATCAAGTTCTCATCTGGCAAATCTTCTTTTTTTCCCTGCTAATTGGAATAATATGTTTTACAAACTATAATCAATACAAATCTAATGATCAGGGAAAGATCTGGAATTTTTAATTTTTTTAAACAGTCTAGGTACATAAACAGAGAATTCTAAGTTTAAGATTGCTTGCTGCAATTTGGGAGTAAATCTAGTCCAATCTACACTTGATCACAACAGCCATGTGCTTTTTATATTCTTATCAGCAAAATTTGGGAAGCATTTGGCACAAGTTCAGTGCAAACTGGAATTTTTGAAATAATGCGTGAACGTTTAAGCTGCCAAATATAGTACTGAGACAGTATTTGTCTGAGACAAAACTTCTACATCTCACCCCCTTCCACCGATTGGCTAATACGTTAAAAAAATAAAGTATATCACTATTTTTGGCAAAATGTTTAGCACATATAATGAAAAATATACCACGAAACAGAATAAATATTAAGTCAACTGGTCTCAAGTAATAGAGAGAAAGAAAAACCATTTTCTGTAGTCCTAAGTGACATTTTGAGTTCCACTTTACTTCCATTCATTAAGAAAAAAATGAGCCTAATTCTTATTTTTTAATTGGGGAATAAGACTACATTCTAAAAGAGAGTCCACAAGTTTCACAACCCTTCCAGCTCCTCCTCCCCATTTAGAAGCCCCTCACACCTCAAGCATAGCTCTGTGACTCAATGTAAAAGGATATTTTAGAGACCGTGAATACAAAAGAGAAGATATTTGCAGTTCTCTAAATTTCAAAATAAGCGAATATTTGTTAAAAACCTGTTAAGAGCTAAGCGTGTAACATGCACTTCCGTACTCAATGCTCGCAGTAAATCTGTAACAGAAATACCATTGCTTTTGTGGAAGAGATAAGATATCAGAGCTCAGATATTTTTAAGTAATTTTTTTCCAAAGGCACCAAGCGCAGAGGTAGGATTTGGACTGAGCCTGTCTGACGCCAAAGCTCTGTATTCGTCCCCTGAACAGTGCTGCCTCCAGGCAGCCCCCAGGACTCCTGGGCCGGGAAGTTTAAAAACTTTGAATTTCCTACCTCCTAAGAAAACAGCTCAAACTCCTTCAAAGCAAATCCATCATAACAAGATCAATATTTGGAAGAACACGTCATATTCAACATTTATTACAATCTTGGTAGTTTACATTTTAATAAAGACTTCTGAATTTGCCTGTGCGTTACAAAAGGAAGGCCTGTTTTCAGATGGAGCAAGTTTGCAATTAAAAATGGTTTC